GGGGGGGAGAGACAGACCAAGTGCAGGTAAATCATCATCATCGTAGTCAATCTCAATCTTCCCATCCCGAATGAGAAAGCTGACATAGAACATGTTCTCGACCGTCTGGCCAAACGATTTAGGATTGACGACGAAACGCATGACGTCTATGCCACCCGTACTCCGCAGGCCGTGGCGATGCATGACATCCAGCCTGGCTTCGTCGTCCATGTCATCGTCGATGAGGTCGGCCACCGTCTCCTGCACGTCTGCCTGGACGCTGCGCAGCTGCTGGAGGATCTGGACGCAGATGGCCGTCAGGTCGTTCTCCTTCTTGGCAAAGTCGGCCACGTTGAGGACCTCTGGCTTCGTCTCGGCGAGGTTGTCGGGCCGGAAAGGCGCGGAGCGCTTGGTGATCCGGCGGGCCTTCTTCTCCACCGAGAGGGGGCCGAGCATGAAGCCTGGCAGGCCGGGGCGTCGGATGTACGGGAGAGCGGCGAAGCGACCCAGGTGAGACCAGTTCATCATGTCGCCCTCGTCGCCGACATCGCCGTCGTCATCGTCTACCGCCGCCACGCCGCCGGCTGCATCCCGGGGCCGCTCCGACCTGCGCCTGTGCCGCTGCGTGCTCGACAGCTCGGGCGCGTCGTCGTCCTGGATGCCCCGGCCCTGGCGCATGTACGTGATGCACTTGGAGACGAACTCGTCCACGTCGACGCCCTGGGACAGGCTGCCCTGCGTCAGGCGCAGCGTCTTGCGGTACGACAGGTCCGTCGTGCTCACAAGCAGGCGCGAGTCGCTTGCTGCTTCGCCCGGTCGTCGCACCTTTCTGAGGTACTCGTTGGCCTTTTCGATGGTCTCGTTGATCCCGCGCGACCCGGATTGCAGGTACTCTTCCGTGTTCTCGTTTATATCCCGCAGAAGGCTGCGGAACCCCCTCTGGACCTGACGCCGCTCTTCTAGAGGCTGGTCGGGGTCGTATATGCCTTTCTGGTCGTCATCATCATCGTCGCCGTCGTCTTCTGCTACTCTGCTGCTGCCGTTGCTGCTCACGTCATCTCGGTCATCTTGGTCGTCTGGTTGGGCAGTTCGTCGCCGACGGCTGTTCGACAGCTCCCTGCCGATCGTCCCATCCCGCTTCCTCTTCGCGCCGGATACGCTGCGCGACTGGGGCGCCGGCGTCGTAGAGGGTGGTGAGGCCGATGGCGAGAGGTCATCGTCCGAGCCTGGGCTGGCTCGGCTGGGCATGGTGGCAGGGGTGACGGCCTGCATATACGGCGGCTACTTTTACGTATATGGGCCCTGCTCGTACTCCTAGCTACCGCGGGTACGGTATGCCGACCGGGATTCTCGTCTGATATCGTCGCGAAACGGAGTGGTGATGGCGGCAGGAGTCGCGTCGGGCGGGCGTGGGACGCGACGCCAGCCAGCCTTGATGGAAAGAAAAAGTGGAGCGGGTTGCCTTTCTCTGCCCCTCCAAAAGTTCAGGAAGGAGCGACTGCTATTTGGCTGCCCTTGCAGTAAATCCCAACTAATGACACCATCTTCAAAGGTCCATTTCTTCCGATGCCAAGATTACCAGCATGTCTTCGTTTCAGCAGTACTCGCGCACACTATGCTGATTTCCTCACGGTATACAGCCTCATGCTTTGCACAGCTTTGCAGCCCTGGGGAATGATGAATTCCTAGAGCTGTGGCTGTCCGGGCGGCCTCTCGCGTCCTCCTCTGTCGGGTTGTCCGATTAGTCGGTCAGGTTTGACAAGCACACAATACGCCCGAAAGGTCTTAACCGCATACAGGCCGGCAGACAAAGAAACGTTGCGTCGGAACCTTTTCAGGGCTACGACAATGGACCGTGGTGAACTCTCATCCAGCACAGCCATGAGCTAGTCGGTGCCTGCATTCGCCAAGGAGCGAACGATGGGGTCGATGGCGGTGGATTCAGCTAAGTCGACCAAGTCTATCCAAGTGAGGGTATCCATAGTGCCATCCAACCATCCAGCCACTCGTAAAGTACAGAGTAGGAGAGGAAAAGTCATGGCGTACATGGTGATACGAGTAAGTATGTGCCCCCTCCTCCCCCCCTCCTAGCCACAGAGACGTTGGTTCCTGGTCGGGAATAATGGGACCGAGGGGGGAGAGGGGCAGGGAGAGGGGCAGGGAGCAAACGTATACCCGCAGATGCTCTCATTCCATGTTCTGTGCCCTCTTCCCTCCCACTGACAGGGAAAGGATAAAGAAGAAAAAGGCGGGGGGGGGGGGACCGTACAGCAAGTAGAAGAGAGGAGAAAAAAGAGCCAAGACAGAACAAAGTGCGAGACAAGACGAGATAGGGAGGTAAGAAAGTTGCAGCAAACAAGACGCAAGCTTATGTACGACCGACAGCACGATTGACCGCCCGGAATATTTACATACCCGTACGTACATACAAGTATACGACTAGGAAAGAGAATAGGGAAATACGGGTCTGCCTGTCTCGGTCAACTTGTCTCGTTGAGTACTGCAGCTATCTGTCTCGACGAGGCCCAGTTCCACCCAACGGACCCCGAGGGAGGAGAGAGCGGGAGTACGTAAGCGAGAGGGAGAGAGAGAGCGCGACACGAGAGTCAGAACATATAGATACTGACGTCTACGAAGAAGAGGGGAGGGGTAGAGTATAGCCGAGATCTGATCATGGATGGTGATCTCTTGCCAGCTTGATTATCGGTAACGCTACAACTCTCGGAACATCTGTCATCACCGCTACTACTCTTCACTACGCAGCGCGTAATATCGTATACGGCAGTACGTACAGACACCGAGTACGTGAACGGACATGATGTATCTACACACCTGGAGTCTTGCATGGACACGGGCTCCAACCTTCTGAAAAGGGTGGCCTCCCGAGAGACTCCAGCCGAGCTCTTGGCCTACCCGTCGGGACAGGAAGCGAGACCTGGGACGGGTCAAGCTAGCCGGACGACTCCGCACTCGTACGAGTATCTGTAGACCGTACAGGTAGTACGTGGGTGTCGCTGCTCTGATACTCTCTGACGACGACAAGTAATGCTCGTCGTACACGCCCCGTCAACCTCGTCCCCCACCTCTCCCACCCTCTCCCGCCCATTCCGTGCATTGACCTTTGGTGGACTCTATGGGCTCTCGCCCCGCTTTCTCCTCTCGTCCCGAAAGGTTGGTGGGAAAGGCTAATATTACTCGTACGTTCAGCGCAGACCCGTCATCTTTCAAGTATGTGTGTATACGGCATAGCTGGTGGGTAGCAGCGGAGTAGTGGCTGACAAGTATCAGTACTACGAGCAGTGTTGAAACTGCATTCTGAGCAAGCAACCCAGGTGTCGGCCACCCATCTTCGGCATCATCGGCTACTCCCACATACATGTAGAGCTCTAGTATATCAGACAGCTCAGCCATCTGCTGTGCATGATGAAGGCGGTCATGGTGGTGGCCAGTCGGTGGCTGGCTAGAAGAAGAAGAAGAAGAAGAAAAAGAAGAAGAGGGGTGGGGTGGATGGTGTACGTACGACGTAGCAATACCTGTAGACAGCTTGACAAGACCATCTAGGGAGGAACAGCTTCTAGCTCTTGGACCGACCTCAACTCACCTGCCTACTACGAAACTAAACTAAACATATGAACACGGTTGGAGTTATCTGTGGAACCATTTTTTTCCTCGTTATCCGGTCATCCACACCCCCCCCCCCCCCCCCCCCCCCCCCCCCCCCCCTTTCAAACATCGATACTGCCATCTTTCGTCATATTTCCCCTCCTTCTTCCTCCAACTCCAACTCCAACTCCAACTACCACACTTTCTTATCTCCTGTTTATGTCCTCCACAGGAGCTGGCTCTTTTCACAAATAATAGAGACAGAAATTCTCTAAAAAAAAATAAACAAAGAAATTCCAAAAAGTGGCCAGCCGGACCTGGACCACCTTCATCAATCCTTCCCCAACCATGGCTGCCACTGTGATCGCCCCGCGTTACAGCAACGACGACTTTGAGACTGGATCTATTCGATCTGCTGCGCCGTCATATGGTGAGATGTCCCTACCAAGAAAGGAGGAATATATATATATATATTCCCTATAGCCAGCCACCTCGTCTTCTGACTGTGAACCCCTTCCCCCCAAAAAAAAGAAAAAAAAAAGAAGAGAAGAAAAGAAAAACTAAAGAAAAACAATAGTCTCCGAAGCTCCCTCGTACCACTCCAACCCTCCATACAACGACCCAGCACCTCCCTACACGCCACGCGAGAACCGAACCTCCAGCTCCTCCAATCCTTCTCGACCACGACGACAGCAGCAGCAGCAGCAGCAGACGATAGGACTACCACCTATCCCTCCCGTCACGCCCCTCAGCGTCCCGAGCCTTCACAACTTCCGCATCCCAAACTGGTCCACCCACAACGCCCCGGCCTCTCGTCAGCTCCACAGCGTCATCGAACGACGTGTCAGCGCCGCCGCAGCAGCAGTAGACGCCAGCAGCTCCTCCGCCACCACCGGTCCCAGCAGCAGCAACAGCCGCGGCATCACCGGCGGCGGCGGCGGCGGCGGCGGCGGCAGCCGAAATCTTCCTTACCGTGCGGCCCCCCGTCGACCGTACCAGGGATTTCTCGACGGCGGAGGCGGCAGCGGCAGCAGCAGCAGCAGCGGGAGTGGCAGCAGCAACAGCAGTAGTGACGACATCATGAGACCCCTTGAAGACCCTTATCTCGTCGGTGAGAGGGCTGCAGAGCAGGCTAGGCAGGAACGCCTCAGTCGTGAGAGGGGGGATGACATCCTCTTGCAGGAGGATAAGCGCTGGGATTGGATGTTGGGTGAGTAACGGCAACCTTGTTCACCCATCACCCCCTTTTGTTTTCCCTTCGCTTCTACCTTACCTTCCCCCCCCCCCCTTGTCCCCAATGAGAAAAGAGTATAAGCTGAGACAGCATGTGTAGCTCAGATGCGTACTTGGGACGAGCGTGAGAAGGCTTGGTCCCAGTTCCGTCGTGAGATCCAGACCGGTCAGAGGAAGCGCGTCCTACGTCATATCGGTGGACGCTTCCCTTGATTATCTTCCTCCTCTTCCTTTCGTCTTTACATCTTGACGTGCCCTGTTCACCGTGCTAGTCTTCGTCCTTCTTCCTTTTCCTTGTCTCTCGTCAGCTTTTCTCTTTTCGCGTCCCCCATACGTCGACGCATAACGCTTCTCTTTTTCTGGCGGTCATGTCTGGATTCGAGGTCATCATCTTTCTCTCGCATGTCTGGGCCATTCTTTCTTGGTAACACCTGGCCTTCCCCCCTCCCCCCTGTTTCCTGCAGTCGTCCTGCTCTTTTTCCCCCCTGCTCGTCGTTAATGCCATTTCAGCAACAAGAAGGGAAAATATGGGCAGCCAGGGATCTTCCAATGTATGCGTCGCAAACACTCACCATCTTACTTTCCCTCGACAAGTCAGTACCATAGGTAGATCCGTACGCAGATTGAAAAGAAAATACGAGTCAAAAATCGCTTGAACCTGGGTGTAATGACTCATCAGTGCAGAGTAGGAATAGCAACGGTAGTGTGGTTCGCGATGACTGAAGAGAAAGAAAAAAAAGGATGTCGACTTGCAACATAAAAAAGCAAAACCCATTTTTCAAACAATACTCTTCTTCTAGCTGCCCGGTTGAATGTACACGTTTCCCATTAACGCCATGCCCAATGCGCATAGTCAGACACATTTGTAGTTGCTTCCCCCCCGACAATGTAGCCCCTTGGTGGCCTAGGGGAAGCCGACAGAGATTTCCTTTACACACGCAGCAGCAGACCACCTGCGCACCCTGCCCGCCTCCGAAGAAGAGGTCGTATTCCGAAGGGGAAGAGTATGATGATGGTGCCGTGCGTAACCAGTGCGGTTCATGTTGATTGTATGCGTTGGGTGCAGCGCTTAGCCCTTGCTCTTGGTGTTGAGGATGAGGGCGACAATGAGACTTTTCGCACGACGCGTGTTAGCAGACATGATCCGGAGCAAGGGAGTGGAAGTGAGACGCACCCGTAGAGACCCAGGACTTCGCCGAAAATCAGGATGAGCACCATGCCGACAAAGATGCGGGACTGCTCCATGTATGCGCGGACACCAGCATCGCCGACGATGCCGATGCAGTAACCGGCGGCGAGACCGGTGAGACCGACAGCCAGGCCACAGGCAAGGTGCATGAAGCCACTAGGAATATCACGTCAGTGTCCATCTCTCCATCGTTTATCTTCGACATCAAGGAGGACGCAGCAGTGTGGGCGGAGAAGGGAATCGCATACGTAAAGAGGTTATAGCTCTTGACGGAAGGAGGGGCCAGGTCTTCGGCGATGAGGACCGAGATGACGAGAGAGTAGACGGCCAGGATACCGGACATGATGACTGGGATGAGACACTGGAGACCGTTAGAAATTCCGTCTCCTCTCCTCTCTTTCTTTCTTTTCCGGTGGTTCGACGACGCCCTTACCTTCATGATGATCTCGGGTTTAAAGGTACCGGCGGCGGCGATTCCGATACCCGACTTGGCTGTACCGTAGGCAGCACCGATGCCTGCAAGAGAGGAGTCAGTCAGTCACTGCGCATCTTGTATCTGATCAAATTCGATCCGGGAAGTCGTACATCCAAAGACCATGGCCGCCGCGATACCGGCCTGATAGAAACATGGTCAGCTTGAATACCACAGGACACTACACCCCTGGAGCAGCAGAGGCAGGAGAGGAAAGAGGAGAAAGCTCACCATGCCGATAAAGGGCGCGAACTTGGGCGCGTACTCGGACGCTTCCACCATTGTCGACGCCATTGCGAGCTGCAGGGATGGGAAGGCGATGGGCGGTGGGAGATGGAAGTCGCGTCGTATGGGGTGTCGACGACGGGGTTTGACGACGTGGTGTTTGAGCTCCTGCTGCGGATTGAGGTATTCACCTCAGAATGGAGCCGGACGAGAATGCACGAGGATATGGACCAATCATGGGACAGAATTTGGTCTTCGTGGTGTCACGTGATACAATCACGGTCGGCGATTAGGTAATGATACTGGTACAGCCTACCAGGAAAGGGAGGGAAAAGTGTGTGTTTAAGTATGTGTGTGCGTGTGCTGTACGGAGTATAGATAAAATATTAAGCTACTAGGGTTTAGGGGTCATGATCTATATGGGAGATATTACGGATGGTAATGTTAACGGAATACTATTGATGGCGAAATAATCAACGGAGCTATCTGCCTGGCCTGGTAACGCAGGATGAAGCATGGGGACCGGAGCTTGGCCACCCGGGATGGAAGCAGCCATATTTAGAGACAGAGACGGCGAGCATGGCCCCAGGACGAATGACCTATGCCCGATGGCTGCTGCGTGTACACGAGTGAATAGAACTGCCAAGGATACATGAATAATACTCGAATTCGTGCCCGAGCTCGTGCATCCACAACGGTCCTATGACTATAAGATCAAACGTTGCTGCAGGTATTGGCTTTGGATGTCGCCCGGGGGAGGCGTTACATGTACAGGGCGAAGTTTGTATCAACGGTTACGCCGCACGTACGGTACCTACATGCGTGTACTCCGTACAGTACTAGTGGTCGTTTGGGGGGGGGGGGG